AGTAAAAAATTCTAATGATGTGAATATACATATTAGATACAAAGAAGCAAAGAGACAATATGTCAATAATATAAATGGAGCAGAAAGATCTCATTTTCAAAAGGAATTGCACAATAAAACTTTTCAGCAAAAACAAAATTATATATGGAAACAGGTAAATCACCAAGATGGTAAAATATCAAAAGGTTCTCAAATTAAACAAATTGAAGTAGGAGGACTGTCAATTATTGAACCAAAACAAATAGCTAAAGTTTTTGCAGAGCATTTTGCCACCTCCACAAAAAAAAGCACTAGAGTCTCATTTCAATGTTTAAATTTTAAAAATTGTACTGCGTCATGTGTCTCTCAGAGCTTTTACTTCTCTCCTGTTGATCATCGTGATGTAATTGAAGTTATTTACTCATTAAAACATGTTAACTCTATGGGCATTAACTGCATTTCCACAAAAATAATAAAACGTATTAGTCATCACATCTCTCAAATTCTAGCAGACTTGATCAATCAGTCTATTCAGCTAGGTATTTTCCCAGATTATCTGAAAGTAGGATATGTAACTCCTTTAAAAAAGGACAAATAAACTATTATTATTAATAACTCCAGTTGCCTCCTATATGCAGATGACCTAAAAATGTTTTCAATCGTCAATGACCTTTCAAACAATCACTTACAATCAGATCTCAGCAATTTGGTTCAATGGTGCAACAATAACTTGCTTAAACTGAATATCGATAAATGTAAAGTCGTAAGGTTCAATAAAACAGCTAATATTATTGTGCATGAGTATGTCATTGCAGGTTCTGAACTAAGTGTTCAGCAAACTTCAAATGATCTTGGTGTTATTTTTATTCCTCACTTGGAAGAAATTGTAAATAGAGCGTTTAGACTGCTGGGCTTTGTCAAAAGTAACACCAAGCACATTTATGACACGGCAGCTCTGAAAAGTCTCTACAACTGCTTAGAAGCATTTTTGAATACTGCTTAGTGATTTGCTCACCTAACTACAATTGTCATATTGATAAATTAGAAAGAGTGCAAAATAAATTTTCGAAGTATCTACTATATAAACATAGACTTCCATCGCAAAATATAGTTTACCAAACCAGAATTCTGTTGTGCGGACTTAAGAGTTTGGAATGCAGACATCAAGAAGCATTGTCTTGTTTTCCTGTATAAGTTATTGAACGGTTTTATTGATAGTAACAGCTTGGTACATTTTATTAGATTCCTTGTTCCTGCCAGACTTACTAGGCAGATTAAACTATTTTATGTAAATACTCATAGAACCTAATATGGACAGAATTTATTTGTAGACCAACTGATGTCCAATTACAAATATTTTTCAAATTATGACATTTTTAATACAAGTTTGTTTTCTTTAAGGCGGCGTTAGCAAATGTATTAGCATAGGAGATTTTTTCAACATATAAGACGGGCTTTCTAGACAATGAATTTATGCGGATTTGCTTTTATAATATTCTAATAGTATTGAACTAGTTCCTGAATATATTTTAAAGTGGAAAAAAATTGAGAGAATGAAGAAAATAACGAATTGTGAAAATTTTACATGTAAAAAAGTCATCATAAATCGCTATAAAAACTATTTCAGGAACTAGAATATATTCCTATTAGAGGCTCCGCATAAGAAATATTTCATTTTTTGCTTTCATTTTTCAGTCTTATATGCACAAAAATTTTTAATTTTAACCCAAAAAACGCAACCAACATTACATAAAACAGGTGTAATTCCTGTAATTTTAGGTTCAGGCAATATTATATAGATGACGCCACCTGAAAATATCAAATTTATATCGAGCAACGTTGTCATATTGTTATGAAGTATCGGAAGCAAGGAAGTTCGTTATTTTATTACAAAAATTAGGTAAATTGTGTTAAGTCTGGTTTTGGAGAAACATTTAAAACTTGTAGAGATTTTGTAAAATGTTTCATTTTTATATTACAAAATATAAGAACGTAATTTGTCAGATATTAAATATAATGTTGAGTTTTGTTTTTTCTGGCTGGATTTACGTGAAAATTGGAACAAGATGCATGTGAAAACATCGATCCTGGTCTTTCAAATGCATTTGTGGGTTCACAAATTAGTTGAGGAGTTAAAAGTAAAAACAAACTTTTAAGCCAATTTATATTCTTAAAATCAACTGAAAAAGTACTTAAAATATTTATTGAAAATACAATAAATTTATCACACTGATTATTGCAGCATAGTTTAAATTTTATTATTATTATTATTATCTCTTCTGTATTTTTGTTTACATTGTATGTTTTTTTACTTTCCTATCTGTATACAGATAAGGAAAGTATAGTAATCATGATTTTTTCGACATCGATTTTTTGACGGATTTTTACATTTTGGGATCCCCTGAATCCGTGTTGACTATTTTCGCGATGCTGTCTATGTGTGTGTCTGTATACTCGATAACTCATGAACGGATAAACAGAAAAATACCAAATTTTAAAATTAAGTCTTATTTCGGCCTGCGGTGAACTGATTAGATTTTGAGCACAGTTGGCACTTGGGGGTACTTTATAGGGGTCATTTTTATATTTTATGGAATATATTTGTTATTTACGGTTGTAGAAGAAACTTCTTTGAATAAAAGTTAATTCAAATAATATTTTCTACAATTTTTGTTATATACAAAATTTTGCTAAAATGGTTCGTATTCCAGAAATTTGACAAAATGTAAAAAATTCAAATTTTTATGAAAATTATTTATATAAAAGTTGTTTGTGATACAATTTTCTATAATTCTTGTCTTATACATAATTTCTCTAAAGTGGACCGAATTCGAGATATTTGATAATTAGTGTAAATTTCGAATTTTGAAGAAAACTCCAAAGCGGATAAATAAAAAACATTATTTTTTAAATTGAAGCGTTATTCCGACCTGTGGTGAATTGATTAGATTTTGGACAAAGTCGGAACATCTGGGGACGGGGTTACTTTATGGGAGGTCGTTTTATATTTTATTGAATATATCTGTTATTTATGTTTGGCGAAGAAAATTCTTTAAATAAAAGTTACTTTTAATATTATTCTCTATAATTCTCACTTTTTACAATTTTTTCCATAAATGGACTGTATTCGAGAAATTTGATAAAAGGTGCAAATTCTGATTTTTAAGAAAATTGGTAAACTAAAAGTTGTTTGCAATATCGATCTCTATCATTTTTTTTTTACATTATTTCTCTAAAATGGACCGTAATAGAAAAACTGGAGGAAAAGTGTAAAATTAAATTATTTCAGTGTTTTCATTTGCAGTGAATATATATCGAAAAATGTTTCGAGTTAGATGTATGTAAATGTATATATTTAGTTTATCCTTTAAACATTTACAAAGTTGCTGCAATAGGTTGTACAAAATAATCGGGAAAAGCCTGTAATAACTAGATAGGAAAGTCATGTGTTGGACACATCAGATTTTTTCGTAAATGGTTAATTTAAGGTCAATAAAATGAATTATTACTATTACTTATTATTGACCGTCTTCACCGTCGTCAAACATGTTTTGCTTACAACTGTCAACAGTATCAATCGCTTCACTGCTTTTTAAATCATGATGGATAAATAACGGAGCGAATAGATTATGCTTTTATCCTTAAGGCCTATTTAAGCATAAAAGCATAATCTATTTGCGCCACCACAAACAAGAACAAAATGAAATTTAATAAACAAACTCAGTTGATCAACTGCTGGGTAACGTGTAACTACCTATAAAAACACTAAAAAAACACAAAACAAAACAATGATAACTAACAAATAAGCTCAGAATGGATGAACAAAGAACTACTTAATAATATACGAACCAAAATAGATTCAAATGTTTATATTACATTGTCCTAAAAGTTTTATTCTGGTTCGTAATAGTATATTATTAAACGAGCAATTTATGGTAGCCATTATTCACGCAGGATGACGTTTGCGTCCCGAGCCGTAGGCGAGGGGCGCAAGTCACCCGAGTGAATAATGGCCATAAATTGCGAGTCTAATACTATACTTTGTCCACGACCATTATGGTTTCTTTATTAAATAAAAGTTAAGTGTAGAATGGAAAGTTTTTATTAAACATAGATAACTAACTGTTGTTTTTTCCACTTTTCAATTTTCGATTTTTTGATTTTTTGATTTTTCGATCTAGAAAATATCGTTATGAAAAGTATCGCCTATCTTTAGTTATCTACCGGAATGTGCCAGAATTACAAAAGCGTGAATTATCATAATTCACTCCGTGATATATGGGTACTATATGCTTTTAGTTAGGAGGTAGAATATTGATTTATTATTAAGTGGTCGTGGCCAAAATTATTTAAATACGGTCTCTATAGGTTCGATATTCTAATGCTGCGTTTGAGAATCCACATCGGATGCATCTGAGATGTAAAAAATCTTTGATCACGTGATTCAGTATACGTAAATGTAATGGGACAGATGTGTCCGATGTGGATAAAAAAACGCTCGAGATGTAAAAAATGCATCCGATGTGGATTCTCAAACGCAGCATAATGTTATAGTGTTTGTCTCGTCCGGCGGTACAATAAAATGTTACGAGCACTTTAGATTTGGGAGGGAGGGGACGCTTGTCGGGTCGCCGGAAAGTAGTTTACACAACTTGGCAAACAGGCAGGTATAATTCAACATTTGAATTATTTCGCAGAAGTGCATCTAATCGCCATCTATTGACAACTTAGTTAATTTGTAGTTTTTGTTATGAATTTCCTGGCGTGCAAATTCCGTCTTAAAGCGTCAACTTTCATTACACTATTGCCTTCATTTTTATATTGTGACAATTTTATTAATTTCTTTTTTTTATTTTAATTTATATTTTAAATGTACCATTTAGAACTTTACGTATCTGTAGCGTACTGTAAACAAATAAATAAATATTTTTTATTCACCATCATTTATTAACCCCATTTACACAATTTTATTTAAGTATGACCAATATTTTTAACATCAAAAACTCATCTTGATATTCCAGAATGGCGAAAGCTCTAGACAAACCACCCAAATCATTAAATGAGGAATCAGATGAATCGGAAGAGGAAGAAGACCTGACAGAAGAGGAAAAGCTAAGGAGGAAGGACTTCGAAATGAAGAGAAAAAAACACTATAATGAATACCACGCTTTACAGATGGCCAAAAAGTTGCTAGAAGAAGAGGAGGACGATGATGAAAACATGCAGGAAGCAGGACAAAGTTCTAGTAGTAAGAAACAGTGAATCAAGCGAATTTTGTAGTAGTAAGTTTTCCATATGTTGTGATGATAATACTAAAGCAGAGTCATTTAAATGATTCTGTAGGATATACATGTATAGGGAATTGCTCGTTGTTGAAAAAATAATGGAATTTTTAAATAATTGGTATGGAATTATGGTTTTGTCTTCTTTGTAGCCCCAAGCACCACATGGGTTATTTTAGGGCAAATATTGTTTAAATTTGCTGTGTATAGATTCATCAAATAACAAGGCTATAATCTGTAGATTAATATTGTATTGTAGTCTTTCTTTTATAATTCTTTAGATAATTTGTTATTGTCAAGACACTTCCAGAAATTTTAATTCTACAATTTTCAGTAACTTCAGTTTGCTAAGAGGAGTATAGGTATTTTTCATGTTCCTATGTTCTAATCAAGCGTAATATACAAAGACCTTGATAATAGTCGGCTATTTTTGTTGAATCTAAATCTTGACAAAATTTTAATATCAATTCACGCCAATTCAACTAGTGTTCAATCAGACCTTCAAATCGTAATATTTTATTTGTTGGTATTACTGCAGTAGAGGAAATACGTCATCGATGACGTGCATTGGTTTTTATATTGTATGAAGTATATAATTTTTTGCTTTCTAACAAGATGGATATGTAGCCTATAAAATTACTTTTTAAACACCGTTCTGTCTTTCCTGATACTGGATTAATACATTATCAACTCTCTATGTAATAAAAAGAATATTTAATATTTTACCACCAAGAAATACGCGGTTTTGGATGCCTTGTTAGTGGAATTATATGCCACAGTAATGACATATTTATTCTACAGCAATAATTTACTGGATTTGTCTGTCCATCTTCCTTAAAATTATAAATTTGGTTATTTTTTGAAAATGTGCAATATTCTATGAATTTGTTTTTACTTTTTTTTTTATTTATTTAATTTGTAGCTAGTAGGGATTGCCTTTTATATTCTTAGACAAAAAAAATATATTGAGCCCCTAAAATGTGTACCAAGTTCGTATGCTATACAAAAATGTAAAATAAAATGACATAATATGTAGGAAGAAGTGTTTTCTACTTTTATTTTTTGCTGGTTTAGAAAGTATTTTTAAAAAGTAATATTTTTTTTACAGATTGGACTAGTCAAAGTCAAAAAAAAAATAGTTTTCAGATATTTTAACATAATGTATGTTGAATATTGTATACAAAATGGGAATTTCAAACAAAGACACTATTCGTTTTGATTTTTATCTGTTCCGATAGTTCAATAATAATTGTAGTCCAATTAAATAACGAAAAAAAGCCCCTTCGAGCTTACATTAATTTGTAATTGGATAAAACAAAGTGGACCTTGTGTATTTTGATGTGATCTTTCCGAAAAAAAAGAAGAACATTTTTTTTAAATTAGGCAAAACCGGGTTTTCCGGAATTTTCCATGGTAAAAATGCTAATTATCTGGGCAAGTATCATTCTGATAGTAAAAATAAATGCACCAATCGAAAGAGGGGGCAAAAATAGTTCGGAGTTTCATTGCACAGGTAGTTTTAATGGCGAATTTCTCGTCGCCAGAAGTGCTTATACCAAAAAGTTGTTTTTTCGTTTCTTTGATCAGAATCATGAACATAAAATTTGCGATGAATTTGTGGCGAAATTATAAATGTTAGACATATGTACCCATGAGAGAAGTTGCGTATTTTTTGGTGGGCTCTCAAATAAAATAAGTCCCGCGGCGAAATCTGCCATAATTTTTCGGGAATTAGCAGGAAACCGGAAGGCGTAATTTTTTCCCATATAATTTTCTCCGGGTTTTCCGAAAACATCTAACAAAAAATATATTTGAAGAAACTAACTGCGCCATCGGAAAGAGCACAAAAAAATATACTTTAAAAATGTTAGGAAATTAATCCTAAGCTTGAGTGTAAGTTCCAAATTGGTGATAAGCTTGTTTTTTGTTCTCTAACATCTGGTTTTCTTCTCGGTTGATGCTCCATCCTCCTTTTTTTGGCATTGTCAATCGCGGCCCTTTTATGCCTATCCCAAGTTTTATAAATAAACTCTTTTCCGTAACGTCGAGCTACGTTATGTTTGCGACACCTTTCATGCAATATAAAACCTGGTTCTAAAGTATAATTTATAACCACCGTAACGTAACTTAACTTAACGCCGTAGAAACTTAACCTAAGATATAAAAATAAAGTCTATTTATAAATGTCCGTAACGTAAGAGTAGAGCATGCGTGTTGATTTCAGAGATTATCAAATTATTGACAACCTTATGAAATAAACAAGTGTAAACTATGTACTTAACCTCTAAATAAAACTTATAAATTATGATTTTGCTATATAGAAAGAATATATTAACTACTTTAAAAGCAATAATATAAAAATATAATAAAACAAAATAGTTTACCGAAGATGTTGATTGTTTTTGAGCAATAATGAGAATTTAATCTTTCCTAGCAAAAAAGTTTTGTCTTATTTCAGTTCTAGACTTGATGTTTATAGGTATATGCAGCTACACTCATATCTCATAGATAGTTTATCCCCAATAACATAAACACAAATCATTCATGATAATGTATGTCCATCAAAAAGGAGAATGATAGTTTACAAATGGTATTTTTCTATTTATTTATAAAAAAAAAATAAAAAGAATAATTGACAGTTATCACATGCTGAACGCAGAATTATCTCATTGGCTAACCGTAAGGTCTTAAGTTAAGTTAAAAGTTGGTGAACTTTCTACGGTACGTTAAGTTCTTAAGTTACGTTACGAACATTATAAATAAGTATACGTAAATTCAATATTTCAACTTCTTACGTTAAGTTCTTAAGTTACGTTACGGCGGTTATAAATTAAGCTTAAAGAACTGAAAAAATCATCCCCTCTCTCTTTGCTGACCATCTGCAGACCTTTCAATCCTGTCGGTCTAATTGGGGTAAGTTCACCCTCTGCAAGTTTCTGATGACATAATAAACACAGTCCAGCCATTGCAACCTGGAAACAAAAAAAATATAGCACTGTGATAGAATTTTCTTAATTTAAGAACGTACTTACTTAATAAATTGCTGAAGAAGTCCGAAAAACCACGTGTACACAGAGCTTGCTGAACACGGTTATTAAAAATCTATGCCGATGAACACTATCAAGCGATTCAATTTGTAATAATATGACCGTTTGAAGTTTAAACTTGTCGGATAGCGAACGCCGAGACCGTGGCTATCCTTGATACGACGTCCGGCTAATTTTGCGGTAATTCTATTTTTTGCACAAAACTCAAGAAACGTCTTATAATAAGTTAGTAAAATACAATGTAATAAATTTTAGGCCTAATAAATTTAGGTATGTAAGAAATTTAAAACTGGAAATCACAAAAAAATCAAATTACAGAAATGCACGAGTTTTGGATCTCGCGGAGCGCGTGTAATGGGACTTTTGTCGGGAGAATTCTACAACTTAGAAGAAACATACACACTTTAAACTTTATATACACATTCAGAAGACATGAGATTTGGGTTTGCTCAATTTTCAGACCAAAAAACTGAAAATCCTCAATTTTAGGCAACTTTTCTCAAAAACCGTGTTTTTTTGGTCGTCACTCAATGAACAGTGGTAAAAAAAATAGATAAAATATTTTTGCGGAATTTTCCGTAATGTAATCGTATTCTAGACATAATAGAGTATTCAAAAAAAAAAGTTTTAAGTTATTGGGTGCATTTTTGGCATTTTTGTGCCACTTCAAACTTTCGAAAAAAAAATTAGTTTTTTTTTTAGTGAAAAAATTTTGTTAAATTGTTTGATATCTTGGCCAATTATAATCCGATTTCGGTAAAATTCACACACGTATAAGATTTCATATTTAAGAGTAAGCTCTGTAAGTGGCATTAAATAATTTTAAATAGTTTGGCCGTTATAGGCAAACAATGAAATTAGGCTTGCGGTACACTTTGCCCTTCCGCCATATGCCTAATTTTGGGATTTACATAGAATTCATTTTGTTTCATCTAATTACAATTTAATGTAAGCTCAAAACCGGTAATTTAATTCGATTATTGAGGGTAATATGTATGTTTAAAAATATTCAGAAGGTTTTTATTTATTACTTTGTTTTTTTTTAAGAGTATTTATTTACTTAATAAATATAAATTGGACTTTATTTACAAATCTGGTAGAATAAATATATTTTGAAAGTTTTACAAAAAAAAGACAAATAATGACCAAATCAAAATATCTATTCTTCAAAAAGATATATTATGTTTGTATAAATTTGAAAATTCTTTATTTATTTTTATATAGATAAGTAGATGTATTTTTATTTTATGAAAAGTATTCTATTAAGAAAGGGTATTAGACATTGCTGTTAACGTTAAGTACAGGTACATATAAAAGGTTGTGATTTAAAAAAATTATATCATTTGAGGTTTTTAAATACTTTATGATTTAAAATAAAAATATGGGTTCACCAGTCATCAAGCATGATTCTTGCCTAGAAAATTATTCATTATGATGATAAAATATCATGAAGGAAATTACCTTATCTCTTTAATGGCAGTATTTATTTTTATATATATTTTTTGAATAATGTAATTTCTTTATATTGAAACCATATTTTACGAATTTTGATCTCTTATTTTTGTCGTCCATTTTAATTAAAGTAAACAAATAATTGTACAATTTTGAATTTATTTTTTGAACTACGAAAACTTCAAATGGTATAAATTAAAATTGTTTTTAGAATATCTTTTATCGTATAATTTGCTCATGGACCTTTTGTGCTTCCATTTGAAAATATCTGTGCCATGCTAAATTCCAAGATTTTTTTTTTATCTTATCGATTTATAATTTCAATTTAGGCAATCCTATTTTTTGACATTTCTATCCTCAAACAAGTATTGGCTGTGTGAAAAAATGATTTAATCTTAAAAATTTGAGACTATGCAAGTATTTTTAAATAAAATAACATTTTGTTTCAATAAAAAATGTTTTTGACTTCATCTGAAAACTCTTGTACTGGTCGATATAGTGGTTTTTTTATTATAAAAACCTAGAAACTAAAAAATGTTGCTATTATTAACCATTTACCTTCTTAAAATAAAGAAATTTTATTCCAATTGACAATAACCAGTGTAGTATTTTATAATTTTAATGCATATACTATTAGGGTGGCACAAAATTGATCGAATTGGAAATTTGATCGAAAATACATTTTATCAAATGACATTTGATCGAAAATACATTTAGTCGAGTAACATTTGATCCAAGATATATTTTATCGAATAACATTTTATCGAAAAGACAATAGATCGAAAATTCATTAGATTGAAAGGACAATATATCGAAAATCAACATTAAAAATAGTAAAATATCAAAAAATCAAACGATACCATTCAATCGTCTGTCTAATCCCTACTACCAGGAAAACTAAACTAAGCGGCTATCAAAATTAGGTACTAATGGCAAATTTTTCAATAATCTCAAATGATAGATACCTCGTTTAAC